TAACAGACCTTTCTTTCCCATTATTTTTAATTAAAAAAAAAAAATCTGTTTCTCCTTCCTATCCAGTAAGTCTCCTCTCAGTGGACATTTTTTTCTGGATGCCTTCGTTCCTCTTCATCCAGCCTGAAACACCAGCTACGTCCTCCGGTACTCCCAGTGGTTCACAGCCATTGTATTCCCCACGATGTCCTCCCACCCTCCCACCCAGAAACGTTCCATATTTCTGCTCCCCCACTCCCCAGGAAAGTCTTTCTGAAGTCAAGGGCAGCAGGAGCAAAGAGTCAGCAAAGAGCTGCATGAGCCTCCAACAAAAACCACGCTCTCATTTTCAACAGCCACGGATAAAAATGGCTGCTTAAAATCCAGGCAACGGAAACAGTTCATACATCAATCTTCTACCCTCAGAAGCAACAGACTTACAAGTCATGAAAATGCTCAGTTAATTCTAGCTGACATGACCCAACTCATGTTCTAAAAGAAAATTCTTCATAATGATTTCAAACATTATTTCTTATTATTATTGCGAGCATATGATTATCACACCTTCTGGAGGGAGAGAATTTCAGTCAGTTTATACAGACCCATGCTCAAATATTGATTTGAGGCCAAGCAAAAATACTATAAATGAGGGTCTCTATTTATTTCCAGCAAACTTTTCTGAGCCCTTCCAATCACCACGTCATCCGACATCGTCAGCAGCCTGCCCACCAACACTCGCTGGCAGAAGGGTTTGGGTGTCGCACGGAGAATCAGGCTTATGGGGTGCTGGCACGGCTGCATGGCAAAAAGCGCACCGTGCATGTTTGCTCTACAGCTCACGTTTTATTTCTTACTTAGGCTGGGGATTTTAAGTCTATATTCACAACAAATTCAATTTACTAAATATTCTCCAAGAAAAGAAACTAAGCCAGGAGTTTCTGGAAATTTGGATTAAAAAATTTCCAAAGAACTCCTATAAGTAGTATTACTGCAAAAAGAAATTGAAGAAGAAATCAGTCTTAGCAAAATGCTGCTTATGCCCATGGATACGTGATATTTACAATTTTTCAAAAATTATTTTTTAAGCAAATTTAATACATTTTACCAGCCAAATGCTTATCTTAGCTGCTAATCATGCACAGGATACAAAAATTAAAACTCTAAGTAAAATATTGTAATTAGATATAAAGAAACAGTTATTATAGAGTAAGAAATATTTTCACTGTAGTTCTTGCTGGAAAGAATTTGAGGCCTTAATAACCCTTTCTTCTTCCTCTTTATTTTTTATTGCCACTGATCTTAATCATTAATTCGCTTAAGGGCTCACATGGTCTGTACAATGGGTGACGCAGCAGGCAAAAGTCATCTACTGGTTTAATTGTTCTAGGATGGAGTTGGTAGATTTGGAGCAGCCTTAACGATCCTCACACAGTGATTCCCACCTGAAGGTCTCAAAGCCCTCCGTGCAGGTGGTCAGTATTTTTTAATACCTTATAGAGGTATGAAAACCAAGGAGCACGTAGCAAAACTGACCTAACTCATAATCAGCCAACAGACTTGCAACAGAGCTGGAAACAAGGCGTATGTTTTCCCAGCTTTCTTCCTGCTGGGACAGAAATGAAACAAAGGAGAGTCCTCCTGGAACTGTATTTAATCATTATCTAGAAAAATCCCATCGAGAAATAGCTTGAGTAGAGACGAAGAGGCTTACCTCATGGTGTACAAGAGAGTCCCATCATCCTGGATTCGCAGAAGCTTGTTTGGCATTGTCATGTTATGAGCCACTGACTTCTTCCCGTTGTGAAAAAAAGTATCCGGGGTCCAGATTTTGCTGGCCATTAAGTTGTTCAGTCGAAGAATGTTCATTGGGCCCTTAAACTTTAACCTCTCATCCTTCCATCTCTGGCGAAAGAAAACGTCTATTGTGTATTCCTGTAATGGAACAAAGATGGGCTTTTTTCAACGCAATGAAACATTCATCTACCTTTCGAGGGCCAAAACAGAAAAGCTACAGTTGTGAAAGTTCCCTGGGTAAAACTGCCAAGGGAGAACAACCATCCCACAAATTTCTATGATGCTGAGAATGATAAATAGGAAGTCAATTTATGAAGGGCATGGCATTCTCCATCATGACTGCTAGCTGTCGGTTGTACATCGAACCCTTCCAATCTTTAGATTTCTGTACCTGATACACAGAATACGTGTGACCCAGGGAATGTGAAGGCGAGTAACCCCGCATTCCAAGAGCACGGCGAACGGCTGAGACTCGGAGGAAGGAAACAAGGCTGCCCAGAAAGGGTACGACACATCCAGGCAGAATGATGTGAGACAGCTTTGTCCAAAGGAGAAAGTAAGGTTCTGTAGATGTTCGGATTTTATTCACAGAAGTACATAGGCAGGGAACAACAGCTGAGGGTAAGGGGTGACACATGCTGTCTGCCTAATCTTGGGCAGGAAGCAGGGTCTGGAGATGAGGATGCCAGCAAAGCCCTGTGCCACCCAGGGCTGGGGGTCCCATCCGCTGGGCCGTGCCGCTGTTCTAAACAAGCAAACAAGCAAGAGACTGATTAAACATTGATGACGTAAATTCATCAGCTAACTTCAAATTGGAGCTGTAAATGGATTTAGTGGTTTGCCACTGTCAGCACAGCACGTAAATTGGAAATGGAAGAGCTTAGGAACTTCGCTGGAAGCAAACTGTGTTCTGTGTATTGGCAAATGCTGCCTCGGTGCAATTTCAGCTTCGTTGGACAGGTGAAAGATGGACCCATGATTTTAAAACATTATTATGTTACGACAGTCTGTACTACTGCAATTACTCTGCAAACGCTAGAGTTTAGGTAAACCATTTTTGAGTAAATTATCTTTGAATGGACAAGTCCTGATAAAATTCACCCAATATAAAATATTTGAGTGATTTCAATATAAAAATGATTTCAAGGAACTTAGAATCATAGAACCATGAAGGTTGGAAGAGACCTCTAAGATCATCACGTCCAACCGTCAACCCAACACCACCAACTTCTCAGCCCCCATCGCTTTCTGCCGGCTCCCTTGCGTGCTGCGGAGCAAGGCTTGGCTTTTCCCTCAGCCCATCACCCGGGTGGTACAACAGGCATGCTGGGCAGGCGGGGAGCAGCCACAGGCCTGCTCAGCCCCTTTGCTCCACCAGCCAGGGAGCTGCGAGGACCTGCCGCAGTCCAGGAGCATGTGGAACGAAGGAAAGAGAATTCTGTTCCCTGCAGGAGCCTGGCAGGGGAAGGAGAGACTGCAGTCGTCACTAGGAACTGTGACAGGCGCTTGCGGAGATCTTTTTGGAATGATACAGCGGGATACTTCTAAACTAACCTGGCATAAACCACAAGCGCAATTTGTAGCTGTATCGAGAGGTCTTATATTACTAGAACACAATTCAGTAATTTTTCTAATTAAAAATTACTCAAAGAAATATTAAATAAATAAAGTTACTCAAAGAAATATTAAATAAAAGTAACACTACAGCACACTGAAAATTAAATTCCTTGGGTTTCTTTGATGCCAATTGCTATTCTCTCCAATAATATTCTAGTAAATATATCCGTGAAATACAAAATTATGCACTTCTAAAGCATGTATTTCTTTGACACTATACCTGATATTCCACCGTCTCTCATCACTGCCAGAGGCAGTGACTCATGACAAATAATTTGCCCATTTCTCTGTGACAGATCACATTGAATTGTCCTGTTCCATTTGCTGATTGATATGTTGCTTTATTTGCTAAATATTGCGTGACTTAAAATTCCATTTACAAATTCCAAGTTATCTATCAGTTCAGCTGTAGACAAGGGAAAGTCACAAAAAGCATAAAATCATGGAGGATCAGGAGCAGCAGGAGCAGTGTGCTTGAGGTAGGTAGAATATTGAGTTTCTGGCTAGAAATACCAGGTAATGCAAGGAAGACACCTGCCCTAAAAGCCTCCTTGTGGTTTCTGTCTGAGGGGCTTTGCCAATAAATCATGGCCATGTGTCGTGACATTGATACTGGAGGTACAAAGAAGTGGAAAGAAGAGCCTGAGGGAGTAAGACTTTGAAATCTTGCTGAAATCCAGCCAGAGTGAGTGATAAGTCCCATAGGCTCCTTTGACAAATATCCCTGCACACAAATGACTAGAATATAAATCTTAAGTTTTTGTAATGTTTCCATCAATAAAGAATTTCAAAGGTCCTGCTTCTTCACTGTCTTCCAACATATATAAAAAGAATTACAAATGACATAAAATAGGAAAAAAGCAGAGATGAAATGCCACTAAATCAAAACGGCAACATTTCAGAAAACCACATCTGATGCATGGCAGCTGCTTAGGAAGCGGAGGGAGCAGGAGAGAATCTGAGCTGCTGCTGGGATGATCCCACTGATAAACCCCTGACTGATCCACCAGTAATTCTAATCTCTCCATCCAATCCATGCTGGAAATCTTTATTCGCAGAAGATCCCATTTAGAAGATGGAAACAGGGAATAAACCAAAGCTTGGTGTGAATGAGCATGAGCACCTTCCTCTGTTTACCACAACAGCAGTAAAATCTCACAGAGTTCATAAATAACTAACCTTTCTGTAGACCTCAGTGCATTTTTCAGAGAAGCATTGGGATCTCAATTGTTTATGAAGGGAAACCAAGGCACAGAGATGAGATTAACTTGCCCCAGTCCATTTACAGAGTGGTTATGAAAAGCAAAATACAACTCGTGCCTTTTGCATCCCAGTGCTATGCTCCCTGATCCCGTCTTCCCTCCTGAGCCAAATCTATTCTGCTCACGATCATGAATAACCCTACGATGATTATCATACAAAACAAATGAAAAAATAGGAAACTATGAAAGCATTTTGAATACAATCAATGTGCTATAAAGCCAGCACTTATCAAAAGATACTACAGAAAGTTTGGGCAACTATTTCTTATTCCATAGATACCCCACTTGGTGGTAAATGCTGTGTATTTTTAGCTTTCCAAGCAAGACTGACATTCTGTTAGAAACACGAATCTGGACTCTAGAAAAAGCACCTGGGCATTGGCAAACCACTCGCCAGTGCGTGGTGTAGGATCTCCACGAAATCTCGAGAGCATGCTTCCAGGGCTACAAAGGGCTCCTGTGATCATTTCTAGCCAAGCAAATGCTTCCTACTGATTTGTGTCTGAAATGGTGTCTTCACAGCCGGACTCTAACACAGTACCATTAAAAATAATCTTTCAAATATGTATTATACCAGTTATACGAAATTTTAGGCACAGACGATGAGATTCTTACTCCTGTGCTAAGCACTCGAGCCTCTGCCAGTTCAATGGTCAGAAAAATGAAATGGTGAAGGAATTTCATTCTTCTTTTAATATGCAGTTGTTGTGCATAACAGCAAGCACAGTGAAGAAAGACATTAGTAACTCTGGGACAAGCTTTAACCGACCTGAGAATGATCAGCCCTTCCTCGCTACATGGCAGTCGTCCCTTTTGCTAAGGCCAGGTTTGCATGGGAAACGTTCACAGAATCACAGAATAGTAGGGGTTGGAAGGGACCTCTGTGGGTCATCTAGTCCAACCCCCCTGCCGAAGCAGGGTCACCTACAGTAGGTTGCACAGGATCTTGTCCAGGCGGGTCTTGAATATCTCCAGAGAAGGAGACTCCACAACCTCCCTGGGCAGCCTGTTCAGACCAAAGAAAATGTGCCCTCACCCTCTCAGCTCGGGGCTGGCAGACTTGGGCAGCCTTTGCATCAGGAGTAAAGATGGAAGTGGTCCAAAGACCTCCGAAATTGTCAGTGGCCATTAGCAAGCAGCACTGTCATGGAGCAGACTGAACATTTTATTAATCACCCTCTGGAACACAGCGTTCTGCTTAGCGAATAGTTCAGGCCAGAGTTCCTGATTCCCAACTTGCAAAGATTTTTCTCAGTCAGTTCTCTAAAGAAAGTTTGGCTTTTTCTCGACCATCGTCGAAGCCATTAACTGACACACAAATACAACCATGAAAGCGGATTTTAAACACTGTAAAATGTAAAACTTTAAAAGGGCAAATACAAAAAAATTAAAAATAAGGAGAGGGAAAATGGCACACATATCTTTCTATTGATTTCATAACGACAGCCAGAAATACTGTGGTTGATACATTGACAAAACAAACACATAAGATTCATGGACCTAAACCTCACCTAGCCAATACAGGGGCTTCATAGTAATATTTATTTTTCCATTAGTGTAATCTCTTAATTTTAGTTCTTAAAAGGCACATTCATGGTGTCACATATACCTTAAGGCAATGTGCAATTTTTCTTCCAGTTTAGCTTAAAAACATGAACACTGTTAGTGGGTAACTAGTACTGTTGAATACATGGTTGGTATGCAACTAAGTATGAGAACCACTGCCCAGAAAACCAAGCAGGAGTTTAAGGCAGGAGTCTCAAAAAACGCAATTATTCAAAGCACAACAATCTGCTCAGTATATGCATTCTTGCTATAATCTGGTACTTGTGGGTTTGATGAGTGCAAGGTTGTGATGGAACTCCTGCAAACGGATGTGCCCAACTTCCTCACTAAGCATATGGATCTAGCTTTGGCGTGAATGCTGAAATTAGCTTTACAGCGGGAAGATCACATCATGAGTTTGTTGTCCTGGTCATTTCGTTCTCTGTGGGATGGATTTCTGCACGGTGCAAATGGCACAGCCCATAAAACCCCATCATTCTCAACCGTACACTCCTGTACCGCTTGGCTTTACCTAGGCCTGCCTCCCAGTTTGGGCAACGTTTCTACCATCTCCATCTCACTTTCTGCTTATCTCTTCTCTAAAAATAAAAACACCCAGAGAATCACAGAATCACAGAACAGTTTGTGTCGGAAGGGACCTTATAGATCATCTGGTTCCCACCCCCCTACCACGGGCAGGGACCCCTGCCCCCA